GTACCTATCATCAATGGACTTGTAGAGGATGTCCTTAGCAATATTGTCCAGGTTGTACTTTCTTCTCTCTTCAGTGGTCCATTCTGACTTGGCTTTACTGATCATCTGGGGTCTCGTGTTGTCAATAGCATGCTCAGGATTGACCTTCTGGAAGCTTGTGAAAGGACCAATATCAAGAACTTCCCACATCTCATCATGCAGGGCACAGAGATGTGCTTTCATCCGGATCCTCCAGTCATCAAACTTCAGATCTGAGAACATAAGATTCTTGGACAAGGAGTGATCCATTATATCAGATAGAAATGAGGTCAAACAGAAAAACAAGTGGATCTTTGTTCAGCAAATAACCTAAGAGATTATTAGAACAAGGAGGCTCTGATACCACTTGTTGGTCCCGGTTATACTGGATACAGTCTAGAGGGGAGGTGAATAGACTGTATTGGTTTTTAGCTTTTTAAACTAAGTACCGGATTTTACAGAATAGCCTGTTCTGTTGACAGAACAGACTTGCAGCGGATGGGGTTCTGGTAGGGAGTTCTGTTGATTTAGCCTCAGAGAAGCAAAGGCAGTAGGCCTTCTGTTAACTCGTAGGACAAGTTCTGCTGAACACAGATACCAAGTCTGAGGAGTTAGACAGTTCTATCTGAGTGCAAATATTAAAGCAGTAAGTAAATGACACCAGGGATTTTTATAGTGGTTCAAGGAACAACTTGTTCCTCTAGTCCACTGTTCCACTAAGCTGTAAAGACTTCCGTTTACAATGCCTTAGCTCTATCACTTAAGAAGCTCTCCACGTCTTCTTCAAGTGTAGATGTCTCCTGGGATGCACTACGTGGCTTCCTTTAAGACTGGTCCTTTCACTGAGCTTCCTGGAAGTATCACCACTTCACTACTCAAGTTACTTGGACGTCCTTCTTGTGGCAAGAAGAGTTTCTGTTAAAACAGGGGTTCCTCCAACTAGCTTCGTTACAAAGGATTTGTATGTGATGAGCTTGAAGAGTTGAAGAACACTTGGAACTTTGCTTGAGTTGGAAAAAGTATTTTTCCAACTTCTGCCTTCTCTTGTAGAAGATGATGAACTGTTAATCTCAAGGAGGCTTTTTGCTTTTAAGCGTTTGAATTTCTTGTATGAAGAGTTGTAGCAATGGTTAGCAAAAATTGCAAAGTTATCCGGTTGTTCTTCGTAGTGTATCTTTTATACTGAGGTTGTCTTCCCGTTGGAGGAGTAGGAGGACAACTGCATTAAATGAGCGATCAGTTGACTTGACCAGTAGAGCCCGGTAAAGTTGGCGGATTACTATTTTGGGATAAAGTATTCCTGACATTGCGGCCAATCATCTGCAATTACTCTACGGAGCATGGGGAGCATTAAATGAGCATTTAATGCGCGTATTGTAGCTTTTCCGTTCAATACTCCTAGCCGTTGAAGGAATCTTTTAGTTGACTTCCCGGTTTTGTGGAATTCTTCTAAGTGTCAGACCTTCTGGTGTCTTTAACTGAGAGTTGAACAGAGGAGGTCTGGAGCACTTCTGTTGAGAATATATCCAACAGAGACCCAGAAGGGTTTCTGTCAGAGTAAAGGCTAACAGAGACCCTAAGGTCTTCTGTTCTGGAGCAAAGAACCAAAGGTCCTCTGTTTCAATAATGCCTTACGAGGGTCTTCTGCTCTTGGAGCCCTTCTTCTCAGAAGGTCTTCTGCTCTGAAGGCATTCTGCCAAGTCGATTACACTAAGAACTTTACAAATGAAAATTCTAATACATTAAGTCTAAATAGGGGTATTCTAAAATCCTAATTAATCTAGCATCATCAAAATCTAAATACAAATATTCCTTACAATACTTCTCGTATTGGGCTTCAACTATGGGCGCTTGGGGAAGATCAGCCAGCTCGACTGGCCTCCCTAGCAATTCTTGGAGTTTGGTGACGAAGGGGACCATGATGTGCTGGCAGCCCATGACGTACAGAGATCGGGCCAGGGAATCATTGAACTTTTTCCCCCTTGGGTCCTGGTCGAGCTGTTTGACCCCCTCGCTCCAGCGGGCATCACCCGTGGAGAAACGCTCGAGATAATCACCAAAGGTGACTGGGAGTTCCTGTTGCGCATAGTCTTTCTTCAGGATAGCGAACTCCTCAGACCCTTTGAATGATTCCCGGACGGCAGACAGGTCAACCTTTACTTCAGCAGGGCCGTCCGGGATACGAGGGGCATGCTCTTCAAACTTAACCAAGGCAGCTTCGGCAGCATGAACCTTGGATTGAGAGGCCCCGAGCTGAACCCGGAGTTCACCAAGCTCCGACTCGAGGCGCTTCTTCTCCTCCATAGAGGCCTTCCGTTCGGCCTCCAGAGCAGCAAAAGCAACGGCGGCATTCTGCTCCGCAGAAGTCTGAGCAACGATTAGCTCTCGCTCCTTAGCCAGTCGAGCCTCTTTCAGCTGCAAACTGTAAAGCCCAACCTGCAGAATGTCATTCGGGATATGAGATGGTGAAAGAAAATTCAACATATGAGATATGTAGAGAAAAGAGTAAAATACCTTCAGTGCTGCCAAGGCCAAACATTCCTCGGATTGCTCGACCGATAGCTTAGGAATGGTGAAATTGTTGAAGAAGGCAGAGGTAGACCAAATCTGGCTTGCTGAGCAGCCACCTCTTTCTACAACATCATGAACCGGATCCGTCAGTGAGATCCGGTCAACTTGGCCAGACAGCTGAACGGTGGGTATATCACCCGCACCCTGACCGGTTTCTTGAGCAGCTTGGAAGTGCTCAGGAAATTGTTGCATTTGATCAGAACCAAACCGATCATCGACCAGCATGGCATCGAATTGGTCCTGATGGACCCGTTGTATTGGCCGTGGCTCTGGAACTGGTTAAGAAGACCCAGCATCCTGAGCAGTAACAGTAGAGGGAATAGGTTGGGGGTTCTTCCTGGCTTTCTTACGCTTGCCAACCCCACCAGCTGCCAGAACTCTGCTGTTATCCATGGGTAAGTCTGGATTTGGTGCTGAAAAATAACAAAGGGAAATGTTAGTACCGAGCGGCCTTAGCGTGTGAGAAACTAGAAAAAAAAAGAACGTTTCTCGCACGGGAAGGACCGCCCGGACCATGGCACTTGATTTCTCAAAACAAGTAAACCCAAGAGAACGGGCAGTACCTATCCCGGCTTCGACTAGCCGATCGGGATTCAGATAACTCATGATATCCATGCATTTATCTTTCTCCACAGCAAGCACATCCTTGTAAATTTCTTCAGTAAGGACTGGATCAGGAGTTTTGCGGGGGAAGACATTCCATTTGTGGGGAACTAGGCTGTCCGGGACAGACACGAAGAAAAACCGGTCTTTCCACCCCTTGATTGAAGTTGGATTGCCCTTGAACAGAATATGTCCCGTTCGGGCACTAGTGGCAAGATAGCCGTGTGTTTGTTGAGGGGCTACCTTAAAAAATTGATGGAAGAGATCTAAGGTCGGTCGGGCACCGACATCTTTACAACGGCAAATAAAGCCCGCCATTGCCCGATAGGAATTCGGCATAATTTGGGCCGGTACAATTTCATAGAAATTGAAAAATGAAACGAAAAAAGAATGTAGCGGAAACCTAAGCCCGACCCTAATTGAGTCAAAATGAACTACAACCATCCCAGGCCTATGACGCATTGGGTGAAGCCCAGCTCGCAGTCGGAAATTCACAGGATCTGGGATTAGGGCCGGAATTTCGGCCCTATTGTGGGAGGTCAGTTTTTGCCGCCTCTCCCTAATCAGTTTTAGGTCAAGGGTATGGCAAGGGAAATCGTTGGGACGTCCGGCCGCCATGGAAATTAATTCATCCTCGGACTTGGTATCATCGGAATCTTCACTGGAGGAAGAAGAGCTGCCGGAGGAGTCATCCGTCTCCGCCCTAACCTCCGTCGTCGCCGCCTTGGAACCTTCATCAAAAGGGACGGCGATAATCTCCACATCACGGTCCTCCCCTTGAGAAGCCATTTCCGAATCAGAACATCGTTGGGAATTCATCTCGACCAAGTAAGGGATGAGGCGAGAAAGCAAGGGAGGGAAAGGACCTGAGCGACGAAGGCTGGAAGAAATTTCAGAGAGCAGCAAGGCGAAGAAAATTGCAGAATCGAAACCCGGATTTGAAAAGTTAAAGGCTAATTTATAGCCTTTGAACCGCCGTGTCAAGAACCAATCAGGGAGCGACACGTCACTAGAAGCATTTAAACTAAGCACGTGTCTAATGAAAAGACTAAACGGCGATTATCATGATGAATATGGGGAAATAAAACGACAGCCGTCAAATCACAGCATGGAGAACTGACTACTTCTGTACCCCGATCGCCATTCGGCAAATTGCAACATTGGTGTTCATACTTCCTAATGCACTCACTGTCATTCGAGACATCGGAAGTGGGGGACTTGTGTTGGGATATTGATCCAGAGGGCCAATACCCGGATCAAAAAGGCCCAAGATACCCGGCCCAAATAATGAGTCCACTACCCTATGATGAGTAGATCCAATGAAGAATTCATACCGAACGGAGTTCGATCCCAGTAAAGGCCGGCCCAGAAAGAAGGTGTACCGAACGGAGTTCGGACTATATATCATACTTGGGCCAATTTGGCAGCGTCTTCAGCATGGTCCAACATCCCGTTCGAGCAACGGACAACCAGCAAGTGGCCAGGTGCAATTAATGCCAGATTGTAACATCAGCAAATGGAAATATGGATGACCAAGTCGGTGGAACAACAGTCAATCAGCATAGAGCAACCCATGTTCCCCATTAGTATAAATAGAAGGTTTAAAATCATTGTAAGGGTTAGCATTTCAATACTCAGGCTCTAGAATAGCATTATTACTCTTGTTTCTTGTATTAAAGCATTATTCCGACCTACCGATCGGGAATTTCCTTGTAATCAGACAGGTTAATTAATACAAGTGAGCATTTGGGTATTAGTGAGTTCATATTTTATATTTTATTATACACTCTGATTCTGGTCCTTTCCTCATATATCCAAAGTTCGTGTTGGGCTTTCAGATCTACGGGACTTACCTTCAACAAACATCTTTAATTTAATTAAGGCCCTTTTTATTCCAATATTACTAAAATGAATGAAAATGACAAAAATGTGACTAGTTTTAATTTTTTCCAAAAAAGTGACAAAAGTCATTTATTCTTATTGTTTAATAATATTCCAGCCACCAGTACCTCTGTGACCGCTGACCCCACCGCCGCCGCCGACACCGCCGCCGCCGCCTCCGGTACAACCATCGCTGCCGCCGGCACAGCCACCGCCGCCGCTGCCGCCGTTGCTCCGCTCATAGTGACTCCGGTCACAGTGACTGCCCGCCCACCGATCCTAGTGAGTGCCCGTCCACCGGCCATAGTGGCTGCTGAAAAGTTTTCTGCCGTCCCGCCACCAGGAACAACACTCTGCCCATCCTGCTGCCTAGTCAAAGCCGCCACCGCCACCCTGCTCATCCCCCAGCCACTGCCGCTGCAACGTCCACTGCTGCCACCCATTCCCCATCCACAACCCCTACTTGTATCCAACCCCCTCCCCTTCCCCAGCTCTACACACCAGAACCCCACCCAACCTCGTAGCCCCCTATTCCCTGTCCCTGTCACCCTCCCCTGCACCGCCCCTTGTCATTCCCTCAGACCGAGCTCCGACTTCGAGGATAGTGGATCCGGCAGATCCGGCACCTAATGCACCAAATCTGAGTCGTCGTCCAGCTAGGTTGACAGATCCGGAACTTCAGCCCCAAAATAGCCCTCACCGATGTCCGTCACGACCCTTCTGTCCCAGATCTTACCATAGCCACCATCTCCATGGATCCAGATCCGGATCTATCATTGACCACAATCCCGGCCGCCACTCCCCAACCGTCGAACCACCGTCTTCGCGCGCCAGGACGATGCTAGACAGAAAGCTAGAAGAAAGAAGGCGGAGAGAACGTCGGAGACAGAGACGACCAAGGAAGCGGAGGAGGTGACGACGATGGAAGGGGACCTGAGGCGGAGACGATGTGCTGCTTGGTGGAGGAGTCGGCTGATGTGCTCTTCGTATCTGCTCTCCAATGGTGCGAAGAAAGAAGGCGACAAATGAAGCGGAAGGGGGTGAGTATCGAGACACTTGGGAGAAAGAGTGCGGAAGTCATATTTTGGGAAATTGAAAAGTGGGTCATATTTTTGGAATAGAAGAGTGCGAATGTCATATTGAGGCCATTTTTTCTTTAATTAAACTCAGATTTTATTTAATAAAATATTAAAAATTTATAAAGTATATTCCTATTTCTCCATTTTAAACGGCGATTTGATTTGCCAATATTGTTGAAAAAGACATACAAACTAAATAATTTTTTTTTTGAAAAAGATATATACAAACTAATTAACTTCACGAAACACTAGGAAAAAAATCAAAATTATCAGCCAACTACATATTTTGAAGCGTTGTGTATTTTAAATACTTATAATATAGTATCAATTTTTAATTACGCCAAACTATATGTCTCCCCCAATTTTCCTAATTGATCGTCTAATCTGATTTATTTTTTCCACATTTAATCCTTCAACTTTTATAACAATGACACTTTAGATCTTTTAATTATTATAATAGTGGCATTTTCAGTCATCCACTTATTGTGTCAAAATTATAGTGAAAGAAATAAATGTGTTAATTTGATAATACTCAGGGACTAAATATGAGAAACTTTGAAGTCGATGACTAGAATGAAAAAAAAAAATATCAATCTGGGACATGAAAGATAGACGAATTATCAATTCGGGACCTGAAAGATGAAATGTATCAGTATAGGACTCGAAAGATGAAAAACTATCAATCTAGGACCTAACATTACATAAGTTTTGATTTATTTAATTTTTTGTTAATTCCATTGCTAATATTTGGCGAAATTTTCTTCACAGAAGTTTATTAGTTTAATAAAACTAATTATTATTTAAATTTTTTAAAATAAAAATAATAATAAAATATATGAAAACTTAGGTCCTAAATTGATAGTTTTCAATCATTCGTGTCCTAGATTAATAGTTTTCTATCATTCGGGTCCTATATACCGATACATTTCATTTTTCAGATCCCGAATTGATAGTACGCCTATCTTTCAGGTCCCGGATTGATAAAATTCCATTGATAATTGAGTATCAAAAGTGTCACTGACACAATGGCCGGGAGACAAAAAATGGTAAAAACTCTTTAGATATATACTCCATCCATCCCAAAAACAACTTTCCACTTTCCTTAAATGGATGTCCCAAAATTAACTTCACACTTTTTCCCACTTCCTTATTTGGCAAATTATCAACATCAAAACAGTGTCAAACAGTACCAAACAGTGCCAAACAGTGTCCAAATAGTGTCCAAACAGTGTCCAAACAGTAAAATTTTGGGAAAGTCAAACCAAAATTTTAATCTACCTAAATATGTGTGCTAGTCAAACTGTGAAGTTGTTTTTGGGACGGAGGGAGTAGATAGATAATTGGATTAAAATTCCTCAGATATGGTTAAATTTAAATATAGTGAATTCAAACTCTATATATTTGAACTTTAAATATTCACCCCACTTAGTATATATTCTTATTCCTCCATAACCAATCATTACATGCCACATCGGGAGTAGGAACAAAATTAGGAGTATATACCTACATCTACCCTCTCGATGCCAATATACACACATCGTTATTGTAATTTATAATTAAACATAAACAAATGTCTGCTCTATTCCACATTGTGTTTGAAAACCTTAAATAATATTTACCCTTTAATTAACTAATAAATAATACCCCGTTCAGTATGCATATATATAATAATAGTATTGTATGGTTAGTCAATTAACCTTTTAATAGTAATAATAAATAATTAACTAGCACATTTCGACCTCCGATTGCTTCTTGCTCTGAAATCCAGCAATATCTCCCAGTTGTTCCACCTTTGTTACCAATGCTTCAACCTTGTCCATCATCTCATTTAGCAGGAATGCAAAAGTTGCCATGCCCAAATCCGAAGGGCAGCCAGTCATCATTAGGCAGTCTTGTTTCAAGGTCTCATATTTGTTAGGACTTATTGTTGTACCCTTAGCTCTCCATAGCTTCATTCCCTCAATGCTCTCTCCAAGCTCCCTCAAAATGCACACAATTGATACCCCTACCACTTCGCATGCCTCTTTGATGATTACCCGCTCCGCTTGCGGTGGCTGCACATTATAGGGTTGTGTTATACTGCATTCGTTCTTTTAATTGCAACGGTTTGATTTCACGTTTGCCAACACACAACTTTGATTGTAATTACATTTAATTATGTATTAGTAAACATTATAACATGTTAATAGTTTAAACATTAGTAATCTTCGAAATAATTTGATTACATATATTTTGTTGTATATATAATTAGGGTTTAGGTTACCTGTGCAGCCGATTGAACGCAACCTTTTAGTGAGATTACTATTGCAGCAAGTTCTCTTAGTGATTCCCCAATCTCCATATACTTATCCCATGGATAAGAGAACCCAAATTTCCCATGCCAAGGTTCCCATTTCGCAAAATTTGCCTATGGAAAGGGAATTAAATTTAATTGAATAATTAGTAGTCAATAACATTACTGATCATTTCAAATCAAGAATGAATTATGGAGTATTAAAATCACTTTCAGAACACAAATTGATCCTTTGTATTACGTAGTACTTTATTTAATTATTTATTTTGCTAAAGTAGAATTTTATTTATTTCAACTTTTGCTGCATAAAAAATGTAAGGAGTGGGTATATATACCAAAGATTCGTCGCTGGTTTTGGAATGCAAAATCGACTTGCAACCACTGACATCTGCACTTGGTCGGCTTTCTTTCTCATCTGAAATAACAAAGTACTCCGCCAAGCACCCTACAATTGTAATTAAGTAAATTCTTTCAGTTAAACTCAACTTAATAAGTCAACTAAGTTATCTACGAATTGAAAGATCCAAAATATATACACTGAAACTATAGTATTGCTAGTACAAATATGATGAAGTAACAATATTAAAATTGGTTGCCATATTATTATTATTATTATTATTATTTTATTGAAAAAAGGAACAAGAAACTGCCTTAATAAGAAATTGCTCCAAATAAGAAAGTGCACAAATAGAACTAATAACTATGTTTAACTTGTTATACTCCTTGATAGGTAAAAAACATACGCATAAAAAATGTTAACACTTGAGGCACCATACTAAAAGATCAACCTTATATGAGAAGTAGGTCAAAAATCTTATATAGTGTAATCACAATCGGGTGTGAGACAAATGTTTAAAAATGCCTCTCAACCCAAATCAGACTGCGCAATACCAGGTGTACGAATGGGCCAAACAATTCATTAACAAGCTATCATTTATCATGTGTGCTAAACAAGCAGTCAAACCACAACTGGCAGTGGCGGATTTGGAACTAAGATTTCAAGTGTTCAATTTTATACAAATTAAAATTTAAAGAAGAATAAATACAATTAAACTAAATTTACACATGTATACTACCATGTTTTTAAAAAAATTGGGTGTCCTTGTGAATACTTTGGAGTTCTACTTTGGGTCCTCCATTAACAACTGGACTTGACTCTGTATCATGTTAAAACTTGGAGTTCTACTCCAAAAAGGTCAATCTCATGAGACGAATAGTTTAAAATCTTATATATAGTGTGTTATTATTTTATAGTGATCCGACATGAGGCAAATGTTTTAACGATAAATGTAAATTTAAGATGAAATTATTGAGGGAATGTAAGATACTAATATAACAAGTCAAACCTTCAAGAGAAGTGGCAAGCTTATGGAACATGGAAGCGGTAGATGAGTGGAGTTGGTCACTAGCCCATTGGGGGAAGACGAGCAAGCTTGTGAAGATGCAAACAGCGAAACCCATGCCTATGGTGGACAGCCGCTCTCGAGCCAACACCATCACCTTATCAGCCCGCACTCCCGACACCACCACCAAGTTGAATGTCAAGATGAATATCATTGCTCCATAGTCAAATTTCCTTTTTATTTTTGGCACCATTCTTGTGTATGTTGCACCTACCCCTGTTTAATTATATATGTGTAATAATATACATATACAATTAATTAATTTATTATTGTCAAGAACCCATATATATTTTTTATTTTTTTTTTCTAATATATATATATATATATATATATATATATATATATATATATAGCTTGTGTCGTTATATGGACTTAATTATAGCTAGTGCTCACCAACAAAAAATATGGAGATGGCAACGACAAAGGTACTGTGTAAGCCTCCAAGTTTGTGGGCTAAGAGTGCCGCCAAACAGCCTAGTGTACCTCCAAGTATAGTACCAATCCCTCGGTTTATCCCCTTGCTTATTGTTGCACCTGAACATTCGTAATATATATAGTTATATCATCATCATCATCATCATCAACATAATCATCATATATACTACTCCCTTCATCTCAATTTGATGATCTGATTGCGATTACGAGGTTTGACTGACGATAAAGCAAATGAATCTTTATTCATACTTAAATTATTTTTAGTAAATAAAGTTTACATATTCAAAAACTACATTAAAGGTTTTATAAGTCGTAAAAAGAAAAATCAAATTTGATAAAAATTTGATATATAAAGTAAGAGATTAAGAGTGATTTGTGTTGAATAAGTGAATAAGAAATAAAATCTTCAAATTGGGATGGAGGTAGTGGTATACTACATGCATATGTACATATCGTCAATGTCGTTGTGCCCTAACTAATTATATCAATTTATCTATCCATATTTCATAGTAAAAATTATGGGGCTGATTCGTTACTGATAAAAGAACAAACAACTATATAAATTTAATTCCTCTTCTATAGGCCAAGTAAATAAGTATGAAAAAGTTGAAAAGATATAATTAAGTAAAAATTCCTAAAATATAGACAAAGTCTACAAGTAGGAGGACCATTACTTTTTTTAACATAACCATATAATTAAGTCCTATTTGGAACAAAATTGAAATACTCCTATTAGTTCATTTTGTCTATATTTTCCTCCTATTTGAAGCAATTTTTTATAATTAATTATGTTTTACCCCAATTTTCTATAATTAATTATGTTTTACCCCAATTTTCTATAATTAATTATGTCTTACTATACGCCCAATTAATCAAGATTTATGCATAATATATGTTTCCGTTGGTTGAGGAATTGAAATGAAATGTGTAGTTGTATATATAAACCTGCGTAGAACTCAAAAACGACTACGACGGTCATGATAGCCCACATGGCATTTTGACCAACTTGTTCGAAGAGAGGATCCAACACATAGAGTAGTGAGACTAGAACCAGCGCCGCCCCAACCTTCATGCCGTGCACCACCTTTTTCTTGTCTTCTTTCCAAAATTCCTTCATCTTTGAAATAAAAGACTCTTTATAATTAGTAGCAATCTTTTCCCCTCCATCATGGCTTTGGTCATTTTCTCCTACACAACTCGCCTTCTCCTCCTCCTTCTCTTCCTCCTTCTTCGGACACTGCTGTTGCATATGATCGTTACCTGCAGCAGCAGCTCTACATCTCTCATCTTCTTCATATGGAATTAAAACTACCACTGATGATGACATCATCATCATTTTTCTTCCTTTCTTGTTGGAATGTTACTCCTAGGTTGTAGTTTCTTGACTCACAATGAAGATGAGATTGTAGTGAACAAATATGGAGTGCTCCATATCATATTTATAGATGTACTATACGTCCAATGCTAAATAACACATACACACATGAATTAAGTGGTGACAACATGATGTGATGGAGGGTTTATAACTTTATTTGTAATGGACAAAATGTTTACATCTACAAATGGCGGGCCCGGACGAGGCCACGTGTCTACGCCACGTGCCTCCCGCGGTAACATCATCAAAACCATCGTTAACATTTGTGCACTATTATATTACCACGATTCTGATGATGCCTCGACATCATGTACATTTGTATTCATATAATGTTTTATAATGAGGTGTACTAAACCATCCATTCAAGCCATGCATTTTCAAGATCATTATTGTCTCATGTTGTCCATTAGGACCATTATAAATGTATTTGTTCTGAAAACAACCAATGTAATATAGTAGTCCTGTTCGGTCCTTGCAACTAAAACTAATTTTCCGTAAAAGATTTAAAAGAATTGGTTATATATAGTTTATTTAGTCATGACAAATATATAACTCACTTTTAACTAACCTTATTCAATTAAGTTATTGTCCTCAGTAGTGAATATATATGTCATTTCCATGAAAAATGATAGTTAATGTCAAGAAATATTTTATGTTTTAGTCTCATCTAAGAAATTTAATTTCTATAATTGTTACTCCACTAATTAAGTTGATGTAGTACGTAGCTAAATGGGGCGGTGTTTAAATTGACAAGCTAAGATTGTTTATTTCAATTATTTTAAAATATTTACTCCACTAATTTAAAATATTTTATGTGTACTATGGTTACTTGTATGCTGAGAGGACCATATTCCATATAGATACGCTTTCTTGTAATGAATACGTAACTACGTAATAAATAATGCATGCCCAAACTGTTAGCTTAGTATGACGAGCTAGTTCATTTTGTATACGGTGTATGTGTGTTAGTTTAATTTGATTGAAATACCAAAAACAATTCTTTCCTGATTTTTTATAATTAATTATTATGTATATTCAGTATTAGTGCTATGTGAACTGACTCTCTTATCCCGTGTAAAATATAATAATCACATATGAGTGCATGTCAAATTTAGAAATAATTTTTTGAAACAGAATACAGTTATGTGTGTGTGCCGTTGGTGAATTTTAATTAGTTTGCACGAAGTGGGAGAATACTATATTTGAATACGAGTATTTGTTATATAAAATATAAGGAAAAGTACCGAAAAGATATTTTTGGTTGAACTCGTTTTCAGATCGGGTCATATGTCTCATTATGAGTTTCTAACTTGCCTCTTTTGCGCATTCCAATTACAACTTCAAATTTATATACTTCCTCTGTTCCATAAAAGTTGCAACATTAGAATTTCTGCACTACTCACATACCTTACTTTGACTACGATTTTCTAATAATATATATAATAAAAATATTATGTATAAAATATTAATAAATTTGTATTAATGTAAATTTCCAATATATTAACTTTTCTTAATGTTTACTAATATGTAAATAAATATAATTACAGTCAAAGTTGCGCATCGGCAAACGTGAAAGTCAAACTGTTGCAACTTTTATGGAACAGAGGATAGTACATTTTATGAAATAATTGACACTCTTAGATTATAAATTAATAATCAAATATTAAAAATAATATACTTAATATAATATCACAATTATCATCAACGACATCATTATGTTATACATCCATTGTAATTAATTATCAATATATACTCGAATTATATTATTTAATTATTGTTTAAATAACTCCTAGACATTTTTCAATGAGAAGCTTGAGCTAGTATTATTCATATTTATTTCACTATTTGATCAATGAGGTATATAGGTCTATCTGTGTAGACTATTAATTTAAGCTGACCACTTCATTAGACGAACTTATGTGCATCGCGTGTTAGGTTTAGACTAGGCTAAGTAATAAAGACGTAAAGAGACTCTATGAACTTTATGATAAGGTAGAATACTTAAAAACATTCTACCAAACAATTATATTATTTAAAAGTTCTTCGGAAATACTAAAAATATAATACTCTCTGGGCCATAAGATTTGGACAGATCTAAATTGGACGTGAAATAAACAAATAAAAATTGTGTGATTAAGATTTGTGGAGATATGAGAGAAATAACTTTAAGCCTTTAATTACATATCTATTATCTTCTACTTTTTATGAAATTGACATAGTCAAAATGGGACATCCAAATAAAAAAAAAAAATTGACAATTTTTTGTTGGAATATAACTCTTTTTAGCCTCCCTATTTTATTGATGTGTGTTAGTGTGTATAATGCATGATTAAATTAACAGTCTATTTCATTATGATGATGACACCTATGTTTACAACCTTGTGTCATTGTGTTGCATATGTGCTACCAAATCAAGCTAGATAGCACCTATTCCAATACTCCAATATGAGATGAATGTCTGCCATTGGGTAAATATGTAGGGAATGAAATACTCCTTATGAAACTTCCTTGTAGGTCATCACTTGGTCTGAACACGATAATCACAAGTACAAAAAGGTGATACTACACATTTGATGTATTCTATAGTACGTACTAAAATGCACGGAAACCTACTTGGCTAAATATATTTTGTACCAAAGAGAACAAAGCTTGAATTGACTTGTTATAAAGGGTCAATTATGACATTGCTAGTGCTGCACATCCTACACATTTGGTCCAATTTAGTTTAAGGTGGAATCTGACACCCGACCCGACAGGATGGTGGGAAGGTTAATCACGGTAAATCAGTCAGCAAAGCGGCGGTAGACCTTATACACGTGCGCACCAGAAGTCCAACCTTATTTCAGGTTCTGTAACTTCCACACGATCGTTGCGGGTTTCGAACCTTGGTCACTTGGTCTAATTTTCCCATCACTCGACCAACTGAGCTACCCGTGCAGGTTGCAAATCCTACACAAATTAACACTACCTTTGAATAGCATATCCATTTTTGCTCACACAGAAACTCAAAAGATGATACCACAATTAAAGGAGCTTATATGTGTCTATCAGTCTATCTAAACAAAAGTTTTGTTGTAGATGTGAAAAATATTGCAGGTCCTGAAGTAAAAACACATTTTCTAGGATAATATCATAATATGTTTTAAATTATAAACTTCACAACATAACATATATAGTAAAAAGAAATAAAAGTATACACATATTCAAGTAGAAACTTCCATTACTACGTAAAAGAATAATTCATAATTGCACAAGTCAATGGCAAAAAAAAAATAATCAAGTCCAAGACATAATTTTGCAAACTAATGTGACATAACAACAATAAAACGAGACTAAGTAAAAATCATTATCTTTATATGATCATCAAATAACACTCAATTTAAATTCATCATTTTCATCAAGATGACAGATGACATATGAGAAAAGTTGTGTGACTGCTACGCACACTTATTATTGTTTATGTGTAAAAGTTTATACAAAAAATGTCAGGTTCAGAAAAACTTTAATTTTGACATGCTTCTTCAGAAAAACATCAAGAAAACTAGTAGTATTTTAAGTTTTAGTCTTTTAGGATGCTAGCTTTAGCCTTCATGCAATTAATTAATTTTAGTATTTAATAATTATAATTTAACAATATATACAAAAACATGGGATCACAGGGAGGAGCTTTTCTTTTTTGCTTTGAAACTATTGTTGATCTCATATGCATTTAATTTAATGCGTTAATTCATTTGATCAATTCGTGTTTTTATTTTTTGTAAAATACGAGATGCTATCTTTAGCTGCCATGCAATTAATTTTAGTATTTAATAATTGTATTGTAACAATACAAAACTACTTTGTCATACAGAAAAGCTTTTCCTTTTTGCTTATAAACTATTGTTGATCTCCTGTGTATTTAATGCTTTTATTCAATTGATCAATTCATGTTTCTATTTTTGGTCAAATACGGGAAAAATACGTTTTATACGGGAAGAGTTTTTTCCTTTTTAAACGGACCGACATTATTTTTTCGTTTTAAACGTGTTTATTGTTCAAAAAATGGTACTTGTTTAAAACGCGTTTAAAACGGGAAAAAGCTAACTAAACGGATCCTAAGGTGATGGCGCCTATTTCGACGGACAATTAGGGTAGCTAAATTGGAGACTTGTAGAATAAACTAGCACAGTACCCGTGCATACGCACGAGAAAAAACAGTTGGTCCATATATTTTTTTTTCACGATTCGATTAAATATAAAGGTGATTTTTTTTACAATTTTACATTCTTTCAAAAATGGAGTACAATAGTGAATACTCCCTCCGTCCCTGAAAATACTTCCAACTTTCCCTTTTCGTCCGTCCCAAAAAGAACTTCTCTTTCCTTTTTTGGCAAAGAATTTGTGGTTCACAGCATTTCTCTCTCCTCTGCACAACTCTCCACCACACAATTCCCACTTTCTTAATCCGCGTGCCACTTTATTTTGGAAGTAAATTATGGGACGGAGGTAGTATAAAAAACCAATAGGACAAATTTTCAAGGTAAAAAAAATTTAAAGTGAAAACATTGACACCATCAATTAGAATCTACTACGTAATACAGAGTAATAATTAATCTTGTTGATAATGGATATGAAATATTTTTTTTGAAAGGATAATGGATATGTAATATATTCAACTTAATTGTTAGAGTTTTGAATAACTACTTTAAGGAGAATTGTTGGTGATAACGTCTGATGGTTTTCTTTTCTAATCATGTATTGAAATCATGAATTCATGTTTTGTCTTTCGATAATGCCACATATATAAAGCTTTACATAACTAAAATACGTCTTGATACGAAAATTTCATCTTTCTCTGATGATAGAGCTAGATATTTCTTGATTATTGATGAAACGGTTAGCAACACAAGAGGGGGGGTGAATTGTGTGTGTGGAACCGTGGCAGTTTTTCGCACGGTTCTACTGTGGGGTCCAGGGAATTACGAAATAATAAAGTGCACAAGGATTTAACGAGGAAAAATCCCTTAGCTCAAAGGGATT